TCCTCTGGATCATGGGGTAAACTTTCCTCATTCAACCTGCGACTTAACAATGGCTCTTTCCCTTTTTTCCCCTGTTACCTCTTCTTTTTCTTTCTTTTCTTTTTTTCCTATTCGTTGCATCTTGCCGGTACATTGATCCATGCCACGAAGACAATGGCACATCTATAAGTATGCAGTGATGTTCCATGTCCCCACATAACACAGCTTGCTGGAATGTACAGCCAGACTGACGTCTCATCTAATGTGCACTCCAAGTAAAGCTGGTGAGTGATGGCCACAAGCAGGTCAGGGCTCTAATCTTTCAAAGCTTTACTTCTTTTATCAGCACTCCTGATTTTATAAACGATGAAGTCCTTCACTCCCTTCTGTACCCAGATCCAGTAAACTGGTATAGTACGGCTTCATGGGGACCCAAACATTTACTTATTTATTTATTTATTTATTTATTTATTTATTTATTTATTATTACTCACCGGAGGATATTTGTTCCATTGATTTTTAGAGAGAATGGAAGGGAGGGCAGAAGGTGGCGAGAGAGAGACAGAGAGGAACACCGATGTGAGAGATACATTGATTGGTTGCCTCCCTCATGTGCCCTGACCGAGGCTGGGAGTTGAACCTGTAACCCAGGTACATGTCCTTGACAGGGAATTGAACCCGGGACACTTTGGTGCATGGGCTGATGCTCTAACCATTGAGCACACTGGCCAGGGAAAAAGCGTTTATTCTTTTTTAGAAAAGAAGTATAGAGGAGCCCTGGATGGTTTGGTTCAGCAGTTAGAGAGTTGGCCTCCGGACCAAAGAATCACAGGTTCGATTCTGGTCAAGGGCACGTACCTTGGTTGCGGTTCGTACCTCACCCTGATCGGGGTCATGTGGAGGCAGCCAGTCAATGTGTCTTTCACATTGATGTTTCTCTTTCTTTCTCTCTCTCTCTCCCCTCCTCCCTTCTGCTCTGTCTGAAAATAAATGGAAAAATATCCTCGAATGAAGATTAAAAAAAAATATATATATAGAGAGAAGATAATCCAGGAATGGAATAGTGGTTTCACAAAGTCACTGGATACTGGGCTCCTTCTGTCCTTCCATTCCATTATCTTTAGCCAGTGATTTCCCTCCTGAAGGTCACCTCGTGATTCAAGGTGGCTTCCTTAGCTCTAGCCATCTCTTCACCTCAGGCAGCAGGGAGGTGGAAGAAGGAAAGGACAAAAGACCCAACTTTCCCCTGATGTATTCTTTTTTTTTTTTTTTTTTATCCTCACCCGAGGACATTTTTCCATTTTTTTGTTCAGGTAGAGTGGGAGAGAGAGAGAGGAACAGAGAGAGAGAGAGAAACATCGATGTGAAAGGAACACCTGATGTATTCTTGAACAGTCTTCCTGTAGGTTCTGGAAAACATGCTTCCTGACACCTCATTGATTAGAATTTCGGCACATGACTGTCCTTGGCAAAGGAGGCTGGAGAAGGTAATGTCTATGTGGGTTTATTGCCACCCTGAATTATAGGGACTCTGTTACTTAAAGGTAGCAAAGGATGGATATTGGTGGCAACTTACAATTTCTGCCTAAGGAAGTTAAAACCTACCTGGGGAAACAGGAAACAATGGGCTTGGAAAGACAATCAATAGAATGATAGGAAGGGCCGAGTGATGGGTTGCTATTTCGAGGAGAAAGGGGAAGTGTCAGGCAGTCTGGGGAAGATTTTTGGAAGAACTAAGATTTCAGTTGCCCTTTGAGGAGTCAATAGGTGCAGAAGACTGAGGAGAATATCCTAGCAGGAGGCACCGGCCTGAGCGGAAGTCTAGAAGCTGGACAATGCAGATCAGCCTTGGGGAGGAGCAACAGTGACCAGATGTTAAGCTGGGATGTGATGGAGTGTTTGGCTGGAAGGGAAGGAATACTGACTGACTATTAAATCCTCACCCGAGGATATTTTTCCATTTATCTTAAGATAGAGTGGGAGGGGGAAGAGACAGAGAGAGAAAGAGAGAAACATTGACACCAGTGACATGAGACACATCAATTGGTTGCCTCCCACACGACCTGGACCAGGGCCAGGGACCGAACCACAACAGAGGTATGTGCACTTGATGGGAATCAAACCTGAGATTCTTCGGTCCGCTGGCCAATGCTCTAATTGCTGAGCCAAACTGGCCAGGGCATACTGACTGACTTTTAAATATTACCCCAGGCAAAAGGGTTCCAAGACCACCTTGCCAGGATAAAATGTGAATAATGAATTTGCTTCTCTGTTACTGGAATTGACACTCCTATATTCTATACATGACTCACACCAGTAGAAATGACCCCATTATTTCCTCCAATGAGTTCCCCTAATTTTGGACTGTCCAAAATAGCACAAAGAGTGTAATAAGTGAATATATCACAACAGTAATCAAAATAAATACATCATTGCCTAAGACCACAAGCCCAAGGCTGTTATTCATTAAACCAGGGAGAAAAAGCCTACAAATAGAAGATTTGGGGCCCCTTTCGTAAATATTAATTGTTTATTTCATTATTCTTCTCTGCTCTAAACAGACCTTGAACTGCCCCTTCCTAATATGCTCCCATAAAGGATTATAAACTAGAGAGGGGCTGGTTTAAACAGAGTAATCAGAAAGTAAGCAATCTTCTCTTTCTCTCTGGCTCAAAGCTTGTTTTGTCTGTTAGGGAACTTTTCTCTTCAGTGCACAGACCTCAAGGTCAAACAGAGGTCACTCTTCTGCTTTTTGAGGTATGGGTGCTTTCACGTTATTTGCTCATTTTTATTGCTGAGAATAACCATCCATTTGCCCACATAACTGGGGCCTCCCCAACACAAAGACGGGAGAGAGTGGGCAGTGCGGGGGAGTTAATCCCATTCCACACAGAGCAAACAAGTTCAAATCTCATTAAGTGTCGGACTTTGCAGCACGAATACAAACATTTCCAATGTAGCAAAGGAAGATAGAGAAGTGACATAGAAGTATTCTGATCATTTAGCGGAATAAATCGTACCAACATGATACTAAAACTGTCAAGTTGGTGGGGGAAAAAAAAGAGGCTAAAACTCCATTAATAATACAACAGCAATGCTTAGTTTTTCACATGAGGAAAATTCCATTACAACCAACAGCCCGAGGCTCTCACAGTGCGTTTGCTCTAGATCAGTGGAATATTGTTATAAAGAATATATTTCTAGCCACGAGAGCGTGGATTTGAAGACGAAGCCTGGCCGGCCAGGCAGAGCAAACCAGCAGAGACGGCTGCGGGTGCACACGGGGCCACGTGTGCAGAGCCTCCTTGGCTGCACGTGTGAAAGGTGGACTGTTCACGTGGGCACACAGCTTGGTGAGTGGCACGCAGGCTGGTATCCAGCTCCCGTGCCCTCAGCCAGGACAACTCCACAACCTTTTGCAGAGGCCCTGGTTGCACAAGACTGTTCTCCTAAAGCCTGTCTCTGTGCGTCCTCTCCGGAGGACAGGCCTCGCTGCCGGCCGCCTTTTCAGCGAGAAGATCCTTCGGGATAGAATTTCCCATTTAAGGATTTGGACACATGTTTTCTTCCCCCAGTTTTGGAAGCACATTGGATTCATCCTACAAGGGTCTTGTGAGCCCCTTCCCCTCAAAAACAACTCCACACTGGTGGCACATCTGGTAAAACACAGGCTGAGGGCGGCCAGACGTCTTCCTTTGCAACTGGAATTTTCAACTGACATGTGACCTCCAAGGGCACTGTCTCGGCTTACGTTCCCCTAAAAGCAGATATTTAGACGAGGATTTGGATATAAATAGTTTGTTTTGGAGGTGGTCCCAGGGAGCACAGGGAGGGGCTGGGGAATTGAGACAGGGGAAGGGGAAACGCAGTAAAGGATGCATCAGTGAGCAGGCTACTGCTGGGGGTAGCTGGGGCCCAATCCCACTGGGGACCCCCTGAAAGACTATAAAACACACCTTAAAATTGTCCCACTGGACGAGAGGACCCTGAAGTATTGGTTCTCTAACTCCCACCCTGGTCGATTAAGGACTGTTCCTGGGAGTGTGGACGGATGCGGTGCTGGGGCCAGAGAAGGCTCAGAGCCAGAAGACGCAGGTGCTTGGGAGATGAAGTTGTTGGTGCCCACAGGAACTTCCATCAAAGCTGCAGGTGGCCTCCCCCGTGGGCCGAGGACCACTGACTCACACAGCAGATCCCGATATGGCCACTGGCAGTTGGTCCTCTCCTTAGGTACACTGGGGCAGAAAAAGCTTGAGAGTCATGTGTACACTGAGCAGCCTATAAACCTCACTCATGCTCTTAGAATGTGGTTCTTTCTCCACCTTAATTCTCTAAACCAGTGCCTTCTGGTCTTTTGCATGTAAATGAACACACAGAAAGTATCCTGTTTGTGCAGTATATTGATTTCCTTAAAGAGTGCTTTTAGGGGAACAGAAATGAACAGGCTGCTCCTAGATTGAGATGCCAACAAGAGTAAAGTGGTTTGCCTGGCAGGTGTGGCTCAGTGGTTGGGCGTCGACCCATGCACCAGGAGATCGCTGGTTCGATTCCCGGTCAGGGCACATGCCCAAGTTGTGGGCCTGATCCCCACGGGGGGGACATACAGGAGGTGGCCAATCGATGTTCTCTCTCATCGATGTTTCCATCTCTCTCTCTCTCAAATCTATGAAGAAAAAAAAATTAAAAAAAAAAAAAAAAGGGTAAAGAGGTTTGGACACCTTGAGGACAAAGGCGTCTTCTACGCCCTCCCTCTGCCTGTCCCTGTGCACAGTGCTGGACTGGGAAGTGCTGTGCCTGCACCCTTCTGCTCGTCAAGTCCTGCGGACATTCCTTTGTACTGGTAGGTATGACCCTTCTGTGCTCAGGGGCCATTCAGAATCAAGTGAGAACCATGGACTTGCTCCCTATAAAAATGTGCACATACACACACTGACATACATAATTTGCATATGGTTTCTGGGGATTCACATAACCCCCGAAGCTCATCCTGAGTGAGACATTCTTTTTTTTCTCCTTTTTTTCAGGGGAGCGCACGAACGCAGTCCCCCACTACCACAAATTGTGCGGTCGAGTTTCCCACACTTGGGGAAATCGCAGGGGTCAGGACATGGATAAGCTGTGCAATGGATAAACCTCGCCCTGGGAAACCCACCTTCGTGATCATGTATCTCTCCTGCCGGGTAAGTATCATCCTGAGACATTCTAATAATCGAGCAATGGCATTGCTTGGGTGTGTCCATTTCCCTCCATTTCCACAGGCCAAATGCCACCTTGGCTTTTTGCCTGGTTTTCTGACCCTGTCGTTGACATGGGACACTGAAGTGATAAAGAACCAGGTAGCCAGCTATCATCTTAGGTGTGCTACACATTAGCTGTGTGCCTTCAGATAGATCTCTTAACCTCTCTGTGCATTGGTTTCCTCATCTGTGCAATGAGGACCATAATAGTACCTACCTTACAGGGTTGTGAGGCTCAGAGAGTGAGTGAATGTAAACACCGAGAGACCGTCTCCAGCATGTGCCATGTTAGTGTAAGCTATGTTATTATTGTAGCTACTCCATGGAGGGAGGCCATTGCTTTGGAGGGAAGAGTGACTTCATGGAAAGAGTCTAGATTTGATATTAGTCAGCAATCTCTCAATTACCAACTGTGCCGTTTGGGGGTAAATGAGGTTGTTTCACTTTCCTAAAATTTCCTTTTTAGTACTCTGTCACTTTATTTTTTATTTTTATTTATTTATTTTATTAATTAAATTATTTTTGTTACAGATGTTTCTCCTTTTTCCCCCAGACACCCTCCTCCCAATCCCGCTCTTCCCCGTCTATGTCCACTGGTTACGCATACATGCACATAAGTTCTTCGATTGATCTTATCACTCCCACCCCGCCCCCGTCCTCTGAGGTTTGTCAGTTTGAATCATACTCCTTTCTTTTTTTTTTATTTATTTATTTATTTATTTATTTATTTATTTATTTATTTATTTATTTTTTATCCTCACCCGAGGATATTTTTTCCATTTTTTGTACAGATAGAGTGGGAGGGAGAGAGAGGAAGGGAGAGAGAGTGAGAAACATCAACGTGAAGGGACACATCGAGTGGCTGCCACCTGCACGACCAACCAGGGCCGGGGACAAACTGCAACTGAAGTACGTGCCCTTAGCGGGAACCGAACCCGGGTCTCTCCAGACCGCAGGCCGACGCTCTAACCGCTGAGCCAAACTGGCCAGGGCTGAATCGTACTCCTTTCTATGTCTCTGGGTCTATTGTGTTCATCAGCTTACATTGTTCATTATATTCCACAAATAAGTGAGATCATGTGGTATTTCTCTGACTGGCTTATTTCACTTAGGATAATACTCTCCAGTCCCTCCATGTCGTCTCAAAGGATAAGAGATCTTTCTTACAGCTGCATAGTGTTCCATTGTGTACCACAGCTTTTTTATCTACTCATCTATTGATGGACACTTGGACTATTTCCAGATCTTAGCTATTGTAAATAGTGCTGCTATAAACATAGGGGCTCATATATTCTTTCTGATTGGTGTTTCAGGCTTTTTAGGGTATATTCCTAGAAGTGGGATCACTGGGTCAAATGGCAGTTCAATTTTTAATTTTTTGAGGAAACACTATATTGTTTTCCATAGTGGCTGCACCAGTCTGCATTCCCACCAGCAGTGGACTAGAGTCCCCTTTTCTCCACACCCTCACCAGCACTTGTTGTTTGATGATTTGTTGATGTCAACCATTCTGGCAGGTGTGAGGTGATACCTCATTGTTGTTTTAATTTGCATCCCTCTGATGATTAGTGATGTTGAGCATTTCTTCGTATGTCTCTTGCCATTTGTATGCCCTTTTTGGAGAGGTGTCTATTTAGGTCCTCTGCCTATTTTTTAATTGGGTTCTTTGTCTTCCTTTTGTGGAGTTGTATGAGTACTCTATATTTTGGAAATCAACCCCTTATCTGATGTATCATTGGCAATTATGCTCTCCCATATAGTGGGTTCCCTTTTCATTTTGATGCTTGTTTCTTTTGCTGTGGAGAAACTTTTTAGTTTGATGTAGTCCCATGTATTCATTTTTTCCTTTGTTTCTCTTGCCTTAGGCACTGTATCAGTGAAAATTCTGCGGCGTGTGATGTCTGAAATTTTGTTGTCTACATTTTCTTTTAGGATTTTTATGGATTCATGAGTCACATTTAAGTCTTTTATCCCTTCTGAGTTTATTCTTGTGTATGGTGTAAGTTGGTGGTCTAATTTCATTTTTTTGCATGTAGTTGTCCAATTTCCCCAACACCATTTATTGAAGAGGCTGTCTGCCCTGGCCGGTTTGGCTCAGCGGTTGGAGCGTCGGCCTGCGGTCCAGAGAGACCCGGGTTCGGTTCCCACTGGGGGCACGTACCTCAGTGGCAGTTTGTCCCCGGCCCTGGTTGGTCGTGTGGGTGGCGATCACTCGATGTGTCCCTTTCGCATCAATGTTTCTCTTTCTCTCTGTTCCTCTCTCTCCCTCCCACTCTACCTGAACAAAAAATGGTAAAATGTCCTTGGGTGAGGATAAAAAAAAAAAAGAGGCTGTCTTTACTCCATTGTATGCTTTTGCCACCTTTGTCAAATATTAATTAAGCATGATGTCTTGGGTCAATTTCCAGGTTCCCTGTTCCTTTTTTTAAAGGTGGTTCTATTTATTCGTTTTTTTTGTGGTACGTGCCCCTAGCAGGAACCGAACCTGGGACTCCCTGGTCCACAGGCAGATGCTCAGGCGCTGAACCAAACTGGCCAGGGCCCGGGTTCTCTGTTCTGTTCCATTGATTTATATGCCTGTTCTTGTGCCAGTACCATGCTCTTTTGATTATAATGGCTTTGTAGTATAACGTGATATCCGGTATTGTGAGCCCTCCTATTTTGCTCTTCTTTTTCAAGATTGTTGTGGCTATTTAGGGTCTTTTTTGGTTCCATATAAACTTTTGAAGTATTCGTTCTAGTTCCAAATATGTTGTTGGTATTTTAATGGGGATTGCATTGAATCTATAGATTGCTTTGGGTAGTATGGACATTTTAATTATGTTACTCCTTCTAATCCATTAACAAGGTATATGCATCTACTGTTTTATTTCTTTCTCTATTTCCTTTTTCAATGTCCTGTAGTTTTCTGCATTTTGGTTAAGTTTAATCCTAGGTATCTTAATTTACTCGCCGCAATGGTGAATGGGATTGTTTTTTTAGTTCCTCTTTCTGTGAGTTCATTATTGGTGTATAAGAATGCCGTTGATTTCTTGATGTTAATTTTGTATCCTGCTACTTTGCCAAATTCATTTATTAAATCTAATATATTGTTGATGGAATCCTTAGGGTTTTCTATGTTCAATATCATGTCATCTGCAAATAATGACAGTTTCACTTCCTCCACTCCAATTTGGATCTCTCTTATTTTTTCTTCATGTCTAATTGTTGTGGCTAAGACTTCCAGTACTATGTTAAATAAGAGTGAAAGTAGGCATCCCAGTCTTGTTCCTATTTTTAAGGGAAATACTTTTAGTTTTTGCCCATTGAGTAAGCTGACTGTAAGTTTTTCATATATGGCCTTTATAATGTCAAGATATGATCCCTCTATTCCCACATTGCTGAGTGTTTTTATTAGAAATGGGTGCTGGATTTTGTTGAATCTTTTTCAGCGTCTATTGATATGATCATATGGTTTTTATCTTTCATTTTGTTTATGTGGTGTTTCACATTTATTGATTTGCGAATATTGTACCAGTCTTGCATCCCTGGGATGAATCCCACTTGGTAATGGTGAATAATTTTCTTAATGTATTGCAGGATCCGATTTGCTAATATTTTATTAAGGATTTTGGCATCTGTGTTCATCAAGGATATTGGCCTCTAGTTTTCTTTATAGTGTCTTTATCTGGTTTTGGAGTTAGAATTATGCTGGCCTCATAAAATGAGTTTGGAAGTCTTTCTTCTTCTTTAATATTTTGGAAAAGTTTGAGGACAATGGGTGTTAGTTCTTTTGATGTTCAGTAAAACTCCCCCATGAAGCCATCTGGGCTCCGGCTTTTGTTTGCTGGGAAATTCTTGTTTACAGCTTCAATTTCCTTAGTTGTTATTGGTCTGTTCAAATTTTCTATCTCTTCCCAGTTCATTTTTGGGAGACTATATGTTTCTAGATATTTGTTCATTTTGCTTAGATTGTCCAATTTGTTGCCATATAGTTGTTCATAGTATTTGTTAACGATCCTTTGTATTTCTGTGTTGTCAGTTATTACTTTCTCCTCTTTCATTTCTGATTTTGTGTATTTAGGTTCTCTCTCTTTGTTTTTTGATGAGTCTAGCTAAGGGTCCATCAATCTTGTTTATCTTTTCAAAGAACCAGCTCTTTGTTTCACTGATCTTTTGAATTGTTTTTGTTTTTTTTTTAGTTTCTATGTTATTTCTGCTCTGACCTTTACTATTTCTTTCCTTCTACTTGCTCTGGGTTTTCCTTTTTGTTTGTTTTCTAGTTCTTTAAGTTATGAGGTTAGATAGTCAATTAGAAATGTTTCTTGTTTCTTGAGGTGGGCCTGCAGTGCTATACACTTCCCTCACAGGACTGCTTTCACTGCATCCCACAGATTTTGTGTTGTTGTGTGTTCATTTTCATTGGTTTCCAGAAATTTTAAAATTTCTTCCTTGATCTCCTTGGTAATCCATTCATTGTTTAATAACATGCTATTTAGCCCCAAGTGTTTGAATATTTTTGGTGTAATTAATTTCTAGTTTAATGCCATTGTGATCTGAGATGCTTGATATGATTTCAATCTTCTTGAACTTGTAGACTTCATTTGTGTCCTAACATGTGGTCTATCTTTGAGAATGTCTAATATGCACTTGAGAAAAATGTGAATTCTGCAGTTTTGGGGTGTAATTCTCTGTAGATATCTATTAAATCCATTTGATCATTTAGAGTCTCCGTTTCCTTGTAATTTTTTGTCTAGAGGATCTATCCAGTGATGTCAGTGGGATGTTGAAGTCCTCTGCTATGATTATATTGCTGTCAATTTCTCCTTTGAAGTCCTACAGAAGTCTTTAAATGTATTTTGGTGCTTATCTACATTGGGTGCATATATGTTTACCAAGGTTATACTTCCTGTTGGGTAGATCCTTTCAATATTATGTAGTGGCCTTCTTTGTCTCTAGTTATGGCCTTCAT